TTTCCCTGGCATTCTGAGGAAATGTGTCCAATGCCGTTGCATCGAAAAAACACCGCTTGTCGCGACCAGACCTCTGGGCGTTCTGTTTGACCTCTCCTGACGTCCTTGTGTACAATTCTTCGCCATATGGTTGGATCCAGAGCACTTGTAGCAGGTAATCGTTCTGCTAACAGGTTTGGCAGGGGGAACCTCAGCTTGAGCGCCGTTAGCAAAACGGATGCGGGGCCAATACCTGGCACCCTTCATCATCCGTCATAAAAGCCCTTGCTCGGGTCAGAATCTGTTCTAGATTCATGTCGTCCATCCTGGAAGAAGCTTTGAGAAGCTGCCTAACATGATGTGGCAGTCCTGACACAAATGCACATGCCATCCACCGATCAGGTAGCGGTTCTCCTACTAGCCGCGCCATACGATGCATTTCAGCCAGGAATTCATCCACAGTTTCCCCTGGGCGAAGACGCCGTCCCATAAATTGGTGAACGATTAAATCTGTCAGTCGACATGCAGTCATAAGGGCCCGTTTTATTTGTTCCGCCTGCCCTCTGCTCTCCACTGAGTTGTCTATATACAGCAAGGGCACCGCCTCCAAGTCGTAAAGGCAAGATGCACTCGATCTTGTCCATGGCACAAAGTTCGCAGACCAATTCCACATTTTCTATCCATTCAACAATGGGCATATCCGTTGGGCGCCGCTGAATTCTGGAATCAAACGGACGTCAAAGACCTTGCCTTCCATTTTGAAGAATCAATATGCGAAATAGCTTGAGGCGAATGAAGAAAACAGTAACCAGCGAGTAAATTCAAGCTCTCCCAGCTGGTATTTCAAAATTGAGTCGTTCCTTCCTGAGTTCTGTCTCCAAATCACACTAACTGCCCGTTCTGGCGTCAACCGTGAACGTCCCCGAAGAACTCCCCCCGACTTGGAAAAAAAAGTAGTTGTTTTTATAGTTGTTCATGTACCCATAATCCCTTGCATCTTCCTGTGATCCCATAGTTCATTGCGTCCATGTCCCATAATGCATTGCATCATTATTGCATAAAAATGCGATGCCAGTCCCCCTCATTCTTTTTTCGTTATCTGGCGAGGATGGATTACGGCAGAGCGGTAAGTGCTTTTTCTCTCCCTCATTTCAACTGCAGTAGCTTTACATGCTAAGCAAATACGGGCTCTTTTTTGGCGGGGACAAGGCAAGTCGCGACCAGTTGTGCTCGTCCCAGGTTCTGTTTTATGTCCGCCACAGAATCAACTAGATTTTAAAACAAATCAATTATAAATTAAATTAAATAAATTCAAATATGTAAACTACAATTAAATAAGTAAATAAAAATCAATTACAATTAGATTTAAATATCAAATGAAGTAAAACCTTTAAAAACAATTCTTTATAAAAAAAAGTTTAATGTCAATTTCAGAATTGGAATGATAAGGTTTTTAATTAAATTTTAAATAAAATAAGAGACAAGGTAAATTGCTCAGCAAGGCTTACAGATGTTTAGACAGAGGATATTAGGTATATTTCAAACCTAGATTTATACAGAAAGTCACCTATTCAATATATTGCATGACTAAGGTTTCTGAGTATCCTTTAAGATCCGACTTTATATGAATAAAAACTCAAAAAAGGGCTTTTTTCAAGGTATGTTCAGGAAGGTAAACAAATTATATATGACACGTAGAAAAGGTAAACAGACAAAGGGTCTTAAATAAAGTTTTTATTCGCATAATAACCCCAGATCAGGTTAATTTGTGTCCCTATAAAGTGTAAAATCGATGAATGGTTTATTTTTGTGGGGTACTTCAGGAGTTTAAGGAGTCTGCTCTGTTTACAATAAAAATTCATTGTAAATCATTCCCCCAGAAAGTAGTCGACCTTTAAAATCAGTTTCTAACATTGCTATAGTTATGTATTCAATATATTTCATAGTTAGGGATCCCTGGTATCACTATAAGACCTGACTTTCTACAAAGAATTTCTTAAGAAGGATGTTTTTTAAAATTTAGCACCAAAAATATAGACAATGTAGATCATATACAAAGATCGATTATGGTGAATTAAGAACTTAAAGAATTAAGCCAATGTTTAATTAAATAAAATAAATTAATAGGGCTTTGTATTTCCAAGACTTCAATGAAGCGCTTGCTCAACTCAAGAAATCTTACGAAGACCAACAATCTGAATACGTCCAGTCAAAATTTGACTCATCAACTCTGCTCCTGCCAACAAACAGTCTGCTCTTGCTTGGAAAACTTTTAATGAATCAATGGAAGACAATCAACAAACAAATTCAAGTTAAAGGCCAATAGTCAGGCTGGAAGACTGAATAAATGGCAAGACCACTTTAAAAATCTCTTGGGAAATGTAGATTTAGATTTTTAAATACTAAGGTCAAGCAAATCATTCAACATCCTCTCTGCATTAAAACCTGGAACCTTTACAGATACAGAACAAGAAACAGTTTTAAAAAATACCAAAAATAAGAAAACAGTGAGACTTGATAACATTCCTCTGGAGGTTCGGAACACAGGATTTCAATGATATTCTATTCCCTGTAGCACCACATATAATGGAGAAGTCATAGTAAGATAGACAGAAGGCTGCAGACTTTCTTTCCCAAAGAAAAAAGATCGATGATTGGCAAAAAAACTATAAATAAATTATATTCACCTCCATTGTGGCAAAAATTTACAACTCATTGCTTCTCAACAGCTGGAAGTAGAAAAGGTACTCTGATAAAAATCAAAATAGCTGAACCCTTGGACAAATCCAGATTGTTTGACAGATTGTTGAGGGCATCAGGTCAAAGAATCTAAAAGCCATCTTACTTTTTGAAGATTGCTCTAAAACCTTTGTATATAGGGAAAAAATGGAGAAGATCCTTCTGGCATATGGCATCCCTCTTGAGACTGTAACTGGCATAATAATGCTATACAAAAATATGAAATCTTTAGTTAGATCCCTAGACATAGACACTAGCTTCTTCAATATCAAAGCAGGGGGGCCCTTCAGGGTGACACACCCTTGTACCTTTCCTCTTTGTTATCACCGTTAACTATATATGGAGAACTTCCCTCAATAAACATCATCGTCTAGGTTTTATTTTATTGCCAATACTCACAAGTCAATATCCTGCAAAGTAGTTGAGAGATATTGACTCTGCAGATGACCAAGCTATCACTGCAGACACCATTACCAATGCCACAGTTCTCCTACATCATCTAGAAAATGCTGCTTACAATGTTGGACTCTATGTCAATGCCTCTAAGAACTGAATTCATAGGCTTCAATCAGCAAAAGGTTCAATACAAATGGTCTCGGGAATCAATAAAATCTGTCGACTCTTTTACATTCCTAGGAAATGAGATAAATTCTCCTAAAAAGGATGTGAAAATTCGCATAGTTAAAACCTGGGTTGCCATAAATAAAATGGATGTAATCTGGAAATCTGAAATACCAGACAACCTCAAACAGAGATTCTTTTGAGTCACTGTAGAGGTGTGACAGAGAGAGTCTGGGAAACACACACACACATATTTTTTTTTTAGTGAAATTGGAATGGATTTGAACAGTGAAATAAAATCAGAGCTTTTTTGCTTACTGATGTGGAAATTTGATCTAGGGCAGAAATTGTACCCATTGAATCTGTGTCATCAGAGGACAATGGAAATGGTTGAAATAATTATCATTGATTAAAAATTGAAATAGAGCTGAGTAAGCTAGAAGGAACTAGAATTTACATGATTTTGGTTGAAACAGGCAAAACCCCGAATCACATGCGAAGTGGTGGGGCCGAGGTTCAGTTATAACCAGCTGGATTTTTCTATATAAACACGTAGTTATGCTGAAAAAGAGGCAGACAGAAGAGAGAGACAGAAGAGAATTAGCCTGGGCAAGAGTTGGGCTAGAGACAGTGGAGAATCGAGTTAGAGATGCAAGAAGAGAACGTGATGTCAGATATTTGAACAAAGTGTCCACTAACATGTGCTGTTGATATAAGTACCATTGCTTCTGCTATCACGAATATTACTACTACTGTTACTACTGCTAAGGAGGAATGCCACTATAAACTTTGAACCGTGCACAGAAATCTTATTTCCCAATCGCAAGAGTCGTACATCATTCTGAGACGATTTAATCATAACACACTCTCTGTTCAGAATCTGTATGCATTTTTACATCAATTACTTTTCTTTTCTGTAACTTGTTTCTTTTCTATACTATTCTTTTCTGCTATATTAAAGACATTAACAATTTAATCATTGAATAGTTGTTTGTCTGGTTTTCTGCAGATATTAATTTTTTTTTTTTTTGCTGCATTCTAAATTTCTTAGCGCAGACTCTCCACCCATTTCTACATCTTCAGTCGACTGTGAATGGATGAACATCACTTCTGCTTTCTGGATCAAACCAAACACAACGTGGGCAGGAAACAGGATTAAACCAGTGGACCGGTCGAATAATCTACGAATGCTCAGAGGACCTACAGCCACTCCCTTAAGTTCGGTTAGGACCGAGTAGACACCTCAGCCCAGAGAGTAAGACGTCGGAGGTTGAGGGTGGAAGTGTTAGAGAGGCAGTGTTAATGTACAGTGTCACTGCTTGGACATTAACCAAAACCCCAGAATCTAAGCTTGATGGAACCTACACTCGGATGCTGAGAGCTATACTTAACATCTCTTGGTGACAACATCCAACTAAATCACAGCTCTATGGACTCATCCCTGATATTTCTACAATATTACACTAATGCATCTTTTGTCTGTGTCTGTTATTCCAACTGTTAGCCATTTGTATTCTGTCTTCCTTTTCCACTTTACTGCTTCCTATCAACAATATGTCTACATGAAACTCACAACCATCCCTCTTGATTTCTTTATATCCACCAGCCTTACCCACAATCTTCCACTATGGTTGCCACCATCAATACTTAATCCCTCACTTCATTTCTCAATCCCCTACAGGTAAATTTTTTTTTTAAATAATAATAGGAATGATACTTACCAATATTATCATACTTGGTCGAAAAGGGTGGCTTCCAAATTCATGCATCTGCACTACCAAAACTTGCATATTTGGCAAAAAGTTAAAAATTGGATAGATATGACAAATATCTTCATACTTTGTAATCACTTGAAGTTTTGGAAATCTCATTTTTGCTACAGAGACATACTTTGAAATTGTTGCTGAAATTAGAGAATTAAAGAGAAAAGAAAAATGTATTTAAATATTAATGAAAAAAAAATTATCTTTTTATGAAAAGTCACATTGAATTTTTTTTGTGTTTGAAAGTGTGATACTATGGGTACCCACATTGAAAGGGAAGAGGTGGTTCTATCTTGATCTGAAGTGTTTCTGTTTGATAGACCGGTGAATAGTTCCTTATGAAGTTTGGGTTTCTAAGCGGTATCCACTTTAACCAAAGGAGAATGGGAAGTAAAGGGATTTTCAAGGATCAAGTGGCACCAAAACCGGAAATAGGGTATATTCAGGTGCTGATCTATATTAAAAGTCAAGTTTGAAATTGAAGGGTAGTACTGGTTCACCCTTGGCAGGGAGATGGATATGTCCACCAAGTGGTTTCAAGACTCACCATTTTGTATTGTCAGCTACCATGTCAGGATGAGTAGATTTGGCGAGGAGTTGGTAGGGGGTGGAGAGCTGACACAGAAGTTGTCCCAAATATAGACTACCTACCCACCCAGACAAGTAGGTGACGTTACATCATGAGCACCCAGTACACTCCCTCCCTAGCTTTAGTGCACATCGACAAAATCAAGAATTGGAATGCAATGTGAGGTAATCATTGGCTGGTCAGTGGAAAGCTTGTGCAAGGGCGACATATGTTTACAAAAATTCAGTAACAGTCAACTATTAGGACCGTTGATTCACTGTGCTGGGCTAGACAATTATTCTTAACAGAATCCATCTTGCACATTTATAAATCTAGCATTCGTGCATGCATTGAATATTGCTGGTATGGTGCTCCTGCTATAAATCTTGAGATTCTTGACAAAATCCAAAGAAGGGTCTGTAATGTTATCGGTCCTGACCTGGCATCTCAACTTCAGTCACTTTCCCTACCACTGTGACATTGCTTCCATGTTTTTCCTACAAATATTTTCCTAGCAGTTGTTCTGATGAGCTTTCCTACTTGGTTTATCAAAGTATGAATTTAAGCATGCTACTAGATTGGCAATTAGGTCTCAGCCTTTTACTGTTGAATGAGCTGAATGCAACCTTCTGTTCTATTCTAATAGTTTCTTTTCTCACCTGTGAAAATCCCTTCCAATTTCTTGCTTCATATAATTGTGACACCCACTAGTGGTCACAGTGCCAATATGTGACATCATCTGGTCGCAACGCCAATATGTGATACTGAGCTGTCGGCCTGTGGTCAACTCCCAGTTGTGGTGCAAAACTGTAAGGTTTCTTCTACCAGCGTTTGGGGTTGACTTTTTGTTGCTGCCACCAGCTTGCGTACCGGTCGATCTGGTCGTTCCCTGTTCGATACCAGCTTTCTCGTTCCTAGCTCACTTCCAACATCTGGTTACCGAAGTAACTACTTTGATCTCAAGTCTAACCTACCCACATTGTGACTTTGATCTTAGGTAGATGAAATCAATCAGGCGTCGGGCTATAGTGCAAGCTGAATCCAGGGTGAAGGTAATATCGCATAAGCGTAAGTAAAAGAAGCAATAAAACAAAACTCAAGATGTTCAAATATGTTGAGAAATAACAAATTATCTTTATCCATCTGTTGAATACAGGAGTATGTTTCTCTCCCAGACTGTTTCTATGGATTTGTGACACTTTCGTGTTTCTTAAGCGAGTTTTTGGTATCTTAAGTCATTCATCAATATAACTTGCTTTTGGTAGGAAGTCGAAGTCAGAAGTACGTGGAATTTCTCTGTCAGCTTCTGCGAGGCAACACTCTGACTCTGTCCAGAACTGAACTCCAACTCCAACTGCGAATCAACTGCCAAACTGCCCGGGGACGTTCGTTTATATGGGTACCGACCAAAACCCAGTGTGAGGCCTGACGTTTGGGTTCCTTAATAATTGATTCCCTACAAGAATTCTTTGTTCTTAGGCCAGGAAAATTAATTACTTCCCATTTTTGGAAGATTAATCACTTTCCATTTCGGGGGTTTCTCCCTAGTTCATGAGGGAAGGTCGGAGGAGAGTTATCCTCCTAGACTCTTCCTCTCTCACATTTAGTATCTCGTACCAATCCACTCAATATCTTTCTCATACATTCACCTCTGCCTACCACCCATGCTACCACTTGACCAATGATCTCTCAGCAGTGTGGGTGTGGCTAGACTGGCCCTCTTAAAATTATTATCCAGAATTTTGTTTACAAAATCCTTTTTTCTTTTTTCCATCAGCCAAAACATTTTCTTTCACAAACCCCAGGTTGCCAAGTAATTTTTATCACATCTTTCTTTTGGGGACACCCAAAATTTACTTAGGTCTCTCTACTGACTCATCAATCACTGTCAAAACCCGACATCTGGCTTCTCTGCTAAGTCAACTTTTAACTGGGTGGTCCATATTTTACTTGAGAATCAAATTCTTTATTTTTCTCATGCCTTAAAATCCTTTTATCACCAGATGCCCTTTTTCAACGATGCTGTGTCTGACGTCATCAGTTTAAAAAAGTAATAATACAATTTTCTTCCTCATGCCAGAATTCTAACACATACCAGATGATTTCCTTTCGTTGGTCCCAGGAATCAAAATTAAATGATATCTCTGAAAGATAACTAATATTGATTCTCTCTGCCTGTATCGGGGTCGTCTGAAATTTTTTAATAACCACCATGTGTCGGCCGGCTTTATTTTTCTTTCTGAATTCTGTTTCCCTTGGCACGTCATTACCTTAACATGACATTAATCAGTTTTGACAGAATCTCATATCTCGCTTTTTCTTATGGATTTTCTGTCTCGTGCGAAAAGTATCTTTCTCCGTAAATAAAATAAAATCTTCTTTTTAATGTCGCTCAGTCTATTTTTCAATATAGCTCTTTCTCGCTTTAAGTCTTTCCTGTTTTTAACTTCTATGGTTAATTAGTTAGCCAATTACCATAGCTAAATAGTGTCACATAATCTTAAAAAATTTAAATGCAATACCAATCACCATCTTGCCTTCCTGAATCCTGTGCTTTTATTATCCATTCTCCTCACTAAATTCTTATTCTCTTTCACTCTCTCTAAACCCTAGTGACATTATCACCTTACTTGGGGTGAAATGATTAAAAACATAAAAATAAAAAATAAAAAAAATTTAATGATTGTACTATTTATAAAAATAATGTCTATAATGAATTTCAAATGTCTTTTAAATCTCTTTATAACAATTCCTTTTTATTATCTAATGATTTCTCAAATTATTTTATCAAATTCTCCATCAACACATTCACTGTTCTAATTCTAAGCAAATTTTTCAATATATAACATTCATACCAGTTAAATTTTCCTACTCCATAGATTAAATACAAATATGAAAGGTGTAATTATACAGAAATACATAAATATTATACAATAAAACACACATAAATCCTTACCATAAAACAGTCGTTAACAAGTTAGTCTTTCACAAGTAGTAGAGAGTTCAGTGCCTCATTTCTGTAGTCTTGTGCCAAGTAACTTTATGTTATACCTATTAGCAACTGCTTCATGAATCAAATGGTAATGTTTGACTAATAACAAGTTTTTTTTTTGCAAAAGCCAGGATTTATGCTGATTTTCAAAGCAGGTAAATTCTCCACCTCTTCTGGCAGCAAAATGTTTTTACCCTTGTATCTTGATGTCTATTTGATTTAATGTGGAAGTAAATTAAAAAAAAAAATCACTCAAATCACTGTCTCATGGATACAAATTTTAATGACTTAACCAGTGAAATGTTTAAAATAGATAAATAAACACTATACTTACAAATATAACCATCAATTTCTAAGACTCTTCGTAAAATGCATCTGTTACAATATTTAGAATCCTCTTTACAGATCATTAAACAATCAATACATTTCGTTTCTGAAAGAAATAAAAATACAAGTATACAATTGATTATGAGAAGAATTTGTACAAAAAAGTTACCCCGCAGAATATATAGGGAATTATGCAGGAAGGATGACCTCAAGTGTACAGAGAAGTGATATATAAGCATTGACCACTTTCAGCAAGAATGAGCAAGTGAGGTTTTGTGGGAGAAAATTATAATGAATGACAAGCGCTTGGAAAGTAATTGCCCTGATATCACACTTTTCTGCACAAGAACAGTCATGAATGATTCCTGATTGACATTTTGCAGTATCTCAAGATAAAAACCTCTTATGAGAGAAGGAGCAGGAGGCAAAAATACAGGATTTACAGGTTGGTTTGGGAATATCAGAGTAACCTACCAAATAGCAGCTCAAGTTATTCTGTTTTGTAATTGGTGCATTCGGTTCTATTTCCAAGGATATTTCTGCCTTACAATATGCCTTGGGGATATAGAACATCATTGGGAGGCCATATTTATTACAACGTTTCGGCCGTTATACGCTCTGGCTTTCTTCAGGTGGTTGAAAAAAGAACTGAACCTTTATTTCGTTTCACTGGGGTTGACTGTTCTAGTTCTACATACCATGTTTTAATGGATGTCAGTTATCTCCTGTTAATTCTTCTCTCCAGTTCTCCACTGTTTAATTAGGTGTTGAACTCACATTGTTTGGGTCCTGTCACAAGATCTCACGCTTTTATCCACTGTGCCATGTGTCCTCAAAGACACATGGCACAGTGGATAAAGATCCAGTGACAGGACCCAAACAGTGTGAGTTCAATACCCAGTTAAGACAGTGGAGAACTTGAATAGGGGAATTAAAAGGAGATTACTGATAAGTGATATCCATTAAAAAAAATATGGCACGTGGAACTAGAACAGTCTACCCCATTGAGTGAAATAAAGGGTTCAGTTCAACATTCCAACCACCTGAAGACGGCCAGAGTGTACAACAGCCGAAATGTTTTAAAAAATATGGTGATAAAGATGAGGACAATGGTCCGAATAATGTAAATAGTGTACATAATACCTCATCTCAGAAATATAGACAGACATCATTGGGAGGGCATAGGTGGCAGCGCTGCTTGGAACAATTCAGGTGCTGAGGAAAGTGTTGTCTCTCTCAGCTTCAGGTAGGAACCACAGTATGACCATTAATATGCCCATCCAAAACATCTAAGAGTTGGAATGGATATCAAATCAAATAAATAAGAATATAAAAAACTTTGCTAACCATTGTTGTTGTGTAGCAGGCTTCCAGACAGGGGTTTTAAATATTTTAATTACAGTTAAGTTCTTAGTTTCACTTTTCCCACAGTGTTAAACTTTATTATGTGTAAAAAAAATATGAAATCAATAGACAGATAGACAAAACGTAACACTAAACATTTTTATATGGTCACAAATGTCAAATATTTATATATATATATATATATATATGATGGCCTCTCTCAATGTTTTGGGTGTATAAGGATTTAACAGCATCTTCCATCCTTGATGCTCTTTTTTTACTTTTTTACTTTTGCTGCCTTCAAGGACTTGAAAATTAGCCCTGAAAATGTGGTTTTCCCCTAAACATGTATACTGGCCTTTGATGCTAGTGACAAATACTGTACCGTTACTCATCTAGGAGAACTTAGGTTTTTATAGGCTCCTGGGTATGTAGCATCAAGCATATATTGAACCAACTATACCAGAATATGGTCAGTATCATTTCTGTCAAAATTCTCTTTATGCAGTTGGAAGCAATTTGAAGCAGCAAGCAACTCTTCTGGATTCTATTTGAGAAGTTTGTTTCAAGAAAAAAAAACCTCCATTTCAAAGCCTGTTCTGTGACATTTCTGGTTTCAGTTCCTCAGATTCCAAAGTTACATTAAAGACTGCATCAATGATGGATAATTTCTTTTTCTTACCTCATATTATGAGGGACAACAGTGGTAGCATTATTTCTAGGGGAGGGAGTTGATCAGCATACTAGAATTTCATTGCCACATGCTGATTTACCACACTGAGGAATCTATCAGTTCTTGTGGCCATTTCCAGTACTTTTCTACTTTTTGTTCTTATCTTGATAATTTAAAGGCAAGCCATCACTGTCAGAATTCTACAGCTACAGAGTTTTCTAACCAGTAGCTTGCCATTCTGGGTCAGCCTCTCCATTCTGTACCATTGTTTTTAATCTTGTGTATTATCAAAGCTGTAAAAATCATCAAATATAACTTCAAAAACATTTAAATAAGAAGAAACATTGTCTTAAATGTTCTGAGAAATATTTCCATCAATAAACATTACTAGGCAGATAAAAATAAATGTTAGTTTGTGGGTGGGGAATAACAGATGAACATTCATTGTAGAGAAAATCTATTTGATGATTCAATTAAAATATGCCAACTGGTAGATTGTCTACATGACATCAATAGATCTGCTATAAAATCAAAAGTGACGTTCAAAGGTTCAGCATCTTTAACCATAGAACTCTTCTATTATCATTTAATCAGTGACTAAGCAACTTATTTTTTTAAGTGTTCAAAAGGAATTTGGCAAATTCAGAAAAGAAGCTTTTTTTTATCATTTGTTCAACTTTAAATCTCTCTACAAAGTTCTTTCCAATTATGTCTTATGTTCACCTGAAAGTATTCATTGTTTTGTTTTGTTTTGAATGTCTAATTTTTACCTTTCCATAATGAATTGGCAAAAATCATAGAGGGAAGACTAGAATTTCCTTGGAATAAGAAATCCTAATTTTTTTTATGAAAAAATATTACTCTGAATTCCATTTGAAAATAAATTGAGCAAAGATTAACTTGGCTCAATCAGAACTTCAACTGGAATAAAATCTACTTTATTGAAATTATTTTGTTATATAGGAATAAAGTGTCACTACTGACACTTGAGTTTGAACATAGATCGCCAGTGAGCAAACACAGATGATCCCATTATTGTATTAAGTACACCACGTGACCATAGAGGAAACCAATATCTAGGAAGTCGCATGATGTCTAATTGATCTCGATTCTAGTCTATCCTCTATTACTATTCAGATCACCATTTCTATTCTAGCCTCTATTATTATATGAACCGCCATTCTCTACTCTATTCACTATACTATTTCTCTATTCAGATCACTATATGGATTACTTGTCAAGCGAATATTATCAAGTAAGTACTATTAGTGCGAGTGCTATTCGAAGACATCTGACACCAGTATTGTTCAATGACATTACTATAAGTTGTATCTGCGATTACAAAGTCTCTACTACAACAAGCATTGCAAAAGTGACAACGAGTATTTGTTGACATCACAAAATATTTCAAAGGGAATCAAAGATTTTTTTACATCTTAAAAGAAAAAGGATTTTAACAAAGGAATAAACAAAATTTATTTGTTGTCGTTTTCTCTTACTATCTGATAAATCTCATCTGTCCCAATGCAAAATAAAAATGAAAGAAGTGATTTAATCCATGTTATTTGCCTGTTCACTACTCCATCTCTCTTCTAATGCTATGTATCAAGATGGGCTAATGACTTCTCAAAAACACGCAAGTTAAATTGTCAGTTACAATCTGAAAGTGACCCTCATAAGAATTTCTAGTTTTAGTCATTTCTAATCTTTGTCACTTTATAAGATATTAATTAAACTAGCAAGAAATTAAGATAGCAACACGAGTTTTAGATGTGGAAATAAGTCCTTGCTTTCTCTGATACATTACATAAATGTGTGAGATTCAGGAGAAATTTCAGAAAATTACATTATCTTAGGATTAAATATTTGCATTTTGTAAAGTTGCTACTTACGTTTCTTTTGACAATCAACTTTGTGTTTTGGCCATTCAGCTTTCTGGCATTTCTTGGAACAATATTTGACATTATGACACTGAGAACATGTCCTGAGTTTAACATCAGAAGATTTCCCACAATGGTTGCAACATTCTTCTGTAAATAAAAATACAACATTTTCACATGGCTTTGATTTACACATAAAGCCAAATCAGTCGAAAATTAGCCTCCCTAGGTTAATGGTGCCTTACTCCACTTGTAAGTGTACTGCCCTTTGAATCTAACACATTTACAACATCTACTTTTCAAAAATATCTGCAAAGTCATCTTTTGAAATCACAATCAACTATGTTGTAGCATTCTCCTTAATCTTAACCATGAACTTGAATCTTCTTTCAGTGGCAATAATTAGAAATCACAAGGAACAAAAGCTGTATTGTAGAAGGGTCTGACAGACATGGGTGATTCAATGCTTTAGTCAACAGCCCCTGCACAAAGCTTTGCTGATCTAATCAATCATTGTGAATGCAACCATCACACAAGTTAAACTCAATGTTGTGTCACTGCTGACTGTGTAACCCTATAGGAGAGTCTTTACAGATGCCTAATGAATTCATTGACAAGTTAGATCAAAGGTCATGCAACATATTCTTAAGAGTTCAAAATGTCTGGATACTGTCTGCGCACATATCTATTTCATCACTCTCATTTTGGAAACGTGTATGAAAATTCTTTCTCTCTAATTAAACAATAAACAATATTTCAACTTCAGAATCATGGTAAAGTTTATTTGAGGAAAGATATTTTTGGGACTTAGAAATAAAAAAAAGAAGGCATTTCTATGCGCATTCATAGACACATAATTGAAGATTTCCTCAGCATAGGAGAAAACTACAAGTATGAGGCTGCCAGTAGTAATTACCAAATCAAACAAGTTCTTTGATAACTGTTACCTACTGGTAAGGTATGAATAATTCTATACATAGAAAGAAATGTTAAATGCCTGTCTTGCATACAACTTTAACAAATCCTCACGAGCCATTGATAGTGATCTTACTACAAAATCAAGCAGATATGTATTTTCAAGAAAATTTGAACAAGGGAATGTGAGCATTCCTAAAAAGGGAAAATAGAACCTTGCTTGGCTGTGATGCATTCTATGACCAAGTGGCTGAAAGCACATCTGACCAAACAAGACACAGGTTCAAACCTTGCTGGAGAGCACATTTTAAAGTTTTCTCAAGTATGCAAACTGGTAAATACTGTTTAAAACAAACTATGGGGTATGTACTTCAAACACAGGTATCCACTAAAAATTAATATTTAAAGTAATAAAAATTTGAAGGCTCAGTAAATGTTGCCTACTTTCAAGGAGACATCAAAACATCCTAAATACGAAGATTTCTTTATTAAAAGTAACTTTTCCCATTCACAACAATCTGAATATTTGTTCTGAAAAAACTTTTACTCAAAATTCTACCAAAAAGATAAATGTCCTCTACTTGACATTCAAAATAATAATAATAATAATTATAGTATATTTTATGTCAATTTCCTTATAGAGAAACAAAATTATCAAAGAGAAAACAGGATTAAGGAAAATGTGTTTTGTACAAATTGAAACCATTAACCAAATTTAAAATGTTTTCAAGTTCAGATTTTGGGCATTTTCGTCTAAAAAGAAAAAAACACATCTTCTCATGGAAAAATCATTGCAACCACAAAAATTTATTGAAGTAACAACGTAAGTTATAAAGAATTTTGGTTATCACAAAGGATAAAGACAATATAAACCATAAGTAAAATAAAGGGTATTGTTTAAAACATCCCTGTAGGCCATGAAATATATAAACAACAATGATGAGGATGTTCATCCACAAGAATAGCTCAACATATTGATGAAAAAGCTAAAATCATATTACAAAATCCAAATTTAAATTTCAATTGTACTCTTCATGTGACGGTGTTGCATTCAAATATCACAATGCCACCCCCAACTACCTTCAGAAGGGACAGAGTGTAATAAGCAACATCACCCCTACCTTTGCCTGGAAGTGGAGGATCAGGTGACTGTTGTTGTTCACTTGATTTTGGCTTGCAGGCCTTCTTGTGACTAACCCAGTCTTTCTTTTGGCAATCTACTGAACAATAAAAGACTTCTTTGCATCCAGAACATTTTGAGAGATTTAGATTAGATTTATGGCAATATTTGCAGGAATTCTTTGAAGTTTGTTGAATACTTGCTGAAGAGGATTGGATTTTCATCTCAGTGCGGTTAAGTGGCCCAACAGCTGAAACATTATAGCAACAACAAAGATAGAGATTCTCATTTAAAAAAAAAGTTAAAAATTTCAACATGTACTAAAAAAAATATAAGACAGTAGAAAATGTAGAAAAGCTGAAAGTATATTATAAAATCCAAATTTAAATTAGAAACTACAGAGCTAATTAAAAATCCTATGCAAAACAAATTTGATTTATTTTAGTTTATTCATTTTTCTGAAGTCACTTTAAATTCCCCATATTAGAGCATTACCCAAACTTGTTTGTCAGGATGTCCACTAGATGGCGTTGTATTCAGGACTATAAAGGCAAGTGATATAAGGACTCTTTTTTGGCTCCAGGATCCATTAGCGACAACACAGGACTTCTTTTTGCTAGGGGGGGGGGGGTTTCCACCGTGGAAACAGAACTTCTTTATTTCATAAAACCACGTATCACACATACAACACTAATCACATATAAAAACTATATATGAATGACATAAATATAAACTACATCCAGCAACAAGGCATCTAATCAAGAGGCTTTGAGGAGGGTGGAACCACCTCTTAATTGCTATTGTTTCCAGGTTCATCCTGACCGAGAGTAGTAGCACCTGTTAGGGTCTCAGCTATGGGCAAATAGTGAACCCCCAAACTGGGGTCAAAACATAAAAATATATAAGAAAAAATTACCAACAATGCATTTTCATAGTAACAAAATTACCAGCAATATATTTTTGGAAAAAAAACTTACCAAAGTTCACAAGAGAATAAAATTTCAGCATTAAATGCCCCATAAGGAATTGATATGCAGTTATAGAAACAAACCAAACTAATCATAAATTTTTTTTTTCTATCTTTATTTGAGCTAAGCTGTATATACATAAATATAATTTCCTTTTTCATCTTTTCTGAATTATGTTGTTCCTTTATAGAAAAGTATATATAAAAAAATCCTCCACATATTAAATTCATTTCTTTTGAACCTATTGAATTCATTTACTTTGAAAGTGTTTATTCTAATCAGCAACAAGTTGTAAGACATCACGCTATAAAACTGGTGACCAACAGCAATCTTATCCACTAGTAATCCTCTAGGCTCCCTTCACAAATAATAATTACAGATAAATAAATTTAATGATATTATATAACAAATATGTCTTTTGCGGCAATTATGTCCCTTTGTTGCAGTTCCCATTCTATTTGAAGTTGAATAAAATATTTCAAATTCTACACGTGATTATTGTTTCCCCACTAAAATATGATGGCCATTAGTGCGAACTCTTTTGACTAAATATAAAATGAATCAAAAAAACATCACAACTTCACCAATGCCACCCCCAACCACCATCAGAAGAGACAGGGTATAATAAGCAACATCACCTACCTTTATCTGGAAGTGGAGGATCAGGTGACTGTTGTTGTTCACTTGTTTTCGGCTTGCAGGCCTTCTTGTGATTAGTCCAGTCTTTCTTTTGGCAATCTATTGAACAATAAAAGATTTCTTTGCATCTGGAACACTTTGAGAGTTTCAGATTAGATTTATGGCAATATTTGCAGGAATTCTTTGAAGTTTGTTGAATACTTGCTGATGAAGATGAAACTTTCATTTCATGGGGGTTACGTGGCCCAACAGCTGAAACATTATACCAACAATGATTGCAACGACAAAATTTTATTGAAATAACTGTGCAAGTTATAAAGAATTTTGATTATCACAAAAGATAAAGACAATATAACCCATAAGCAAAACAAAGGGTCTTGTTTAAAACATCCCTGTAGGCCATGAAATATGTAAACAACAATGATGAAGATGCTCATCCACAAAAATAGTTCAACATATTGATGAAAAAGCTAAAATTATAAAATCCAAATTTAAACTTCAGTTGTCCTCCTCGTTTACAGTGTTGCACTCAAATATCACAACTTCACCAATGCCACCCCCAACCACCTTCAGAAGGGACAGGGTGTAATAAGCAACATCACCTACCTTTGCCTGGAAGTGGAGGATCAGGTGACTGTTGTTGTTCACTTGTTTTTGACTTGCAGGCCTTCTTGTGACTAACCCAGTCTTTCTTTTGGCAATCCCCTGAACAATAAAAGACTTCTTTGCATCTGGAACACTTTGAAAGTTTCAGATTAGATTTATGGCAATATTTGCAGGATTCTTTTGGAGTTGGCGGAGGACAGACAGGATTCTTATTCTTCCTTCTTCTAGGCATGGTTAATCACTTAGAGTTTCCAATTCCACAGAAAAAAGTTTTCAGAAATTCCAATTCCAGCAGGTTTTTTCAACTGATTCAAAAATAAAACAGGAATATTAAAATTATACAAATAAGATTTTGAAAAGAAAAAAAAATGTGAAATTTTTAAATGAAGTTTAGCATTCCAGGTTAGAAGTGTTTTAATCTGTTTCTGTCCTCTGATGAAAATGGCAAACATATTGCTTAGATTATTGCTATATACAGTCCCCCCTTCAAGAGTATTGGAATGGCAACGTTAATTCCTTTGTTTTCATTATTCACATGAAGACATTTTAGGTTTACATTCAAAAGATGAATATAAGACAAGAATTTCAGCTTTTATTTCCTGGTATTTACATTTCACTTATAATAAAACATCAAAGTTTGAGCCGTGCCATAAAACTTTTATTTCATTCATTTTGTAAAAATAATCTTTCGTGATTGTGTTATCCTTTCATTGTATAATGTTAGCAGCAGTCTATATAAAATCTATATAAAATTACTAGACTTCAATTGACGATTTCCATGTGATTTTAAAATTGGTTTATGTATAAAAAACATGTAACATGTAAGAAGAAAAAAAAAGAGAAATAAATAAAAAAAAAAAAGGGAACTCTTTTGATGTAAAGTAACAGGTTGAATTTCAAAATCACATTCAAAAATAAATTATTTATTTTACAAAAAAATTAAAGTGTAGAATATCCATTCTGAAAGAAAATAAATGTTTTAATTTTTAAATTATGAAAACTACATGAAAAGATTATTTTTTGAGTTTTACTTTTTTTGTAATAATTTTTGGTAAGATTTGAAATGAATTTTCAATATTTTCACACTTGATATTGCCTTTTTTAATTTTTTTTTTTTTTTTACTGAAATAACAACTTCAGGGATTTTTCTTTATTTAACTTGTTGTGAGTATCTGGATTCACCACAAACTTTAAAAAATGACAAACATCCCCCATGCTAAAAATTATACAAGATATCCAAAGGTGGGAGTGGAAATAAGTCCTCCAATATAATTGTAATATCGTATATAAATGAGATACTGCCATAAAAGGCAGTACGCCGCAGCGAATGCCATTCGAACTACTATCTGTTGACCTGACAACATCTATTCCAGAGATAAGTCTACTTCATAACAATATGGCGTCGCCGATAGGATTCTTGGTCGTTGGATGAACTGGATAGAAACTTGGATTAGATGTTTAGCAGCATTTGATAGGATAAAGAAACTGAAAGACAACAAAGCCTCCAGAATGAAGAATGAAATTACTGATTTATTTTTGACTTTGGCTGGATGTGAAGCCATAAAGAAAATGTCCATTATTTTGTGTGCTCCAAAATGTTGGAAGACTTAACATATGAAGCAATTTCAACCATTATAAAAAGAAATGTACAACCAAAAAAAACAAGGCTGGTTATTGCTGAGAGAACAACATTTCTGAAAAAGAGACAGAAACTCAAAGGAAACGGTAATACAATATTTACACAGATTGAAAGAAGTGTCAAGATATTGCGAAGCTGAAAAACTAATTTCAAGAGAAATGTCTATAGAAGACGAATTGAACTTTCTAAGACTAACTGAAGACATGTATGACATTACATAGAAACATAAGATCATAGACCATCCTGGATAAGACGATAAACAACATCTGGCAGCAAGGCCTCTGTTCAGGAGGTTTTGAGGAGCATGGAACCACCTCTTAATTGCCGATGTTCCAGACCCAGTGGTAGTACCTGTTTGGGGGTTCTGCCCATAGCTGGGACCCCTAACTGGAGTCAAAACACTATGAAAGTATAAAAATAGGTTTTAATACCAGCAATAAATTTTTTGAGCAAAAACTATTACCAGCAATACGTTATTAACAGGCAATACATTTTTGAGGAAAAAATATTATCAGCAATACATTTTTTAAGGAAAAAATATTAGCAGCAATACATTTTTTAAGGAAAAAATATTACCAGCAATAAAAATCTTGTCGGCATTAAATAACTCATTGAGGTTGACATGCTGTAAAACAAACCAAACCTAACTAAACTAAGATCCTAGAACGGCTACAAGCTTAATTACATGAATTTAGAAGTAAGTATAGAATTTTGCAGTAATTAGAATTAATTAATAAATTTAATAATTCTAAAAAACAATGTGGAAGCATACAATGCAACTGAAATCCTAATTAAGTGCAAATATTGTAACAAAGAAGATGAAAGAAGCAAAAACAAATATTTAGCCCTAAGAAAATTATGTTTAAACTGTAAAAGAAAAGTCCATTTCTAATCTGTGTGCAAATACAAAAAGAGAATAGAAAAAGTAGAAAGTATAAATCCTGAAAATACAGAAGAGTATATTTGATGGGAACAATTGCAAAAAGGTAGAAAGACAGTAAAATTGAATGGAATAACTTTTGCCATACAGGTTGACATGAGGAGAAATGTTACCTTGATGCCAAGGAATTTCTGGGGAAAAATTGGTAAATCCAAATTAAGGAAAAGTAATCTTAATTTAAAACAATTTGAAGGATATGTCATCAAAACTCTAGGCAACTTTGAAGGAACTTTTGAGAAAAAAAAAATTTGAGATTATTCCCATCACTGTCATAGAATGTACAAAAAATCATGGACTCTTGGGAATCAGTCAGTTATGTGCCATGCATGATATATGCTTAGGTGATCATGTATCTTTCAACAGATGACTGATGAGGCAGATTTTTTCCCACAGTAGGTTGCCATTTCTTTCTGAGGTAGACCAGTTGCCATCCAAGGCTATAGAACCCGGTCTGTCCTGCTGGGGGGGGTGGTATAAGAAGAGAATTCATACCTTTCCCAAGGGTATTAGCACTTAAATGAATGTAATGGATTCAATTGGGATTCAAACTCTTCGATTCCTCAATCCGAGCTACTATCCTTTACACCACCATACATCTCCTGGGAATAGATATTTTAAAAGTGGATACAGCAAAATTAATAAACTGTATAAATTCAGAAGAACCTGACATGGGACTATTAAAAGGATATAAAGTTGAGTATTTGTCTAAAAGCTAGAGACAGAGGGACGAGAAGAGACAACAGGAGAGTATGAAACAAAAAACGCAGACATATGTGAAGAAGCAGTTAAAAGGTCATTCAGGGCTGGGTAAAAAAAACAGTGGATTAACACTGAAATGTCCGGCGCTAGGGTCTCTCTCTCCCCGGCACCAAAACTTTCATGCAGGGCCCTCATCTCTACCACATGGCAATTTCAAAGTTTCCCAACCCGGGAGCCACAAACCATCAAAGGAAAATTGGGTGGGGAGGAATGGCTGCACTTTTTAAATTACCAAAATTCAGGGAATTATCCAGTTTAAATGAAAATTTCTGTACATATTTATTAATTATTTACTTTTATAATGAATCTTTTTGTTTTTTTTTAAATCTGAGAAAATGTTATTCTTTTTTTGTAATAACCAACAATATTTTCATGACTAAATTTTACTCGAAAAAATGTTGCAAATCACCAACGCATCTCTGCTGAAAAAAAAGTTTTACAAAGATTCCAACAACAAAAATGGGATTGTCTTAAAAATTTGTTTTAAAGTGTTTCAGTTTTCGGGAAAAGATTTCATGCGTTGAAATCTTTAAACCATTTTCTCATTTTTATCTTTTTAAGAATATAAAAAATAGGGACTAGAAATTTTATTTTAATTACAAGCCGTGGATTTCTGGTTAGTAAAAAAAAAGAAAAATCAGTAATCCTCCTTAGTGGATGATCTCTGAATAAAAAATGATTTTACCGAGATAATTTAATTGATTTAAAAGAACTGTTTAGAAAGAAAATTACAATTAAAAAAAAAATAAGCGCTACTGAAATTAGCACTTTTGCACCCCCTCCCCAGTAGGCATGGGGCCCCCCATGTGATTGAGAGGTTTGGAGTAGTAAGCACTGGCCCTGTCGATTATTATAGTTGATCATTGACAATATAACTTAGAAAGAATTAAAAAGTACGAAAAGCAAAATAACGCTGTTGAAACTATCCATTTTGGGGCTCCAGCCTCGTCGGGGGGGGGGTCGTCCTGCGTCGTACTCACCGCACCGGACATGCAGATACACAATGTATATTATTAGTTAATGACTGACAATGTTTAACGTCAGTTTAAAAATAAGTAAAATACAATGGCGGATGACCATAAAATAGTGCTGAAAAAATAGCAGAGGCGTTCAAAAACACCCCACCCCAGTCGGGGGTAAGACGCGCTAGCCTTGGACACTACTACTACACCTGACTTTTTTTTATTATGTACCTCAACTTTTACGATGAAAAAGGCTACAAACTTAAAAGTAAAACTGTTCACATCAGAAGGTCACCAGTGTGAATAGGTGGTAGGATAATATAATTATTTCATCGGCAACATAGGACATAAAATGAACTGACTCCAGCGTTTAAAATAAATAATATATTTTTATTTATTTTCTTCAGAGTGAGGTGTAAGTCCTTTGGTATTAGGTGTAGCAAAAAGTTTAAGGCGGATATTGGTAGCAGTCTGGAGAAACATCTGTTACTGATCGTTACCCTGACGATAAAACATTGTTTTTATTAAGTTTGGGGCCTTTTTTTCATCATGTCATGTTTTTTTAGCGAAAAAGTGGAGGTACCTATGTTACTTACTGTAAGTAATAGCTTTCAATTAATAACAACATATTTAAACAAAACTTTGTTTTCGTTGATTTATGAGCCTTTTTTCATCGTGATATGCTGCTTTTTACGTGACCTAACGGAGGTACCTATAAAAAAAATGAACGATTATTGCAAAAATAGAAATTTGCTGAAAGTCTGCCTTTTATGAGAGGATTGTAATTAACATTCTTATTTGGGTCCCAGGTACAGCTTGGCCGCCTCAGTCAGGAATCTGTGAAGGTGCTTAGATGTTTGTTTTTTATTTATTTATTTTTTTTAAAGTATCCAGTAAATAGGTAAATTTGCGCGCAGTAATCAAGTCCCGTA